GGGTTCACCCCCAAACCGTGGGTCACCCCCTTGTTCTCAGCCCCGGCTCGGGGTTTGGACGGGGTTTCACCGTGGCTGATTTCCAGCTCATCTCTAATTTGCTGCATTTTCGGGCAGTGCAAACGCTCCTTTTTTGTCCGGTTTCTCAGCCCCCCCAGGTTGCGGCCGGGCGAGAAAACCGGGTGTGCAGGAGCGAGACGGGGCATGGGGCTTTCCCCACTGCACCTGCAAGAATTAATAAACACCCCACCCCCCTCAGTTTTTAATGACCCAATTTCACCGGAAAATGGAGATATTTGCTGATATTTTAATTTTATAGAGAGCGACTGGATTTGGCTGCTGCAAATTTGTCGGCGGGGAGGTTTCAGACCATCCCACATTTTGTTGCCACTCCTGTTAAACTCCGCCTGGCCACGTTTCCAAACTAAAATACAAATTTCATGAGGTCTGTGGGGTCTGCAGTCGAGCTGCCGGACATATCTGTGTCCTGAATAAGCCCTTAGCCCTGATGGGGCTGGGAAGGACCAGCAAGAGGCGACTGGGACCATTTCCATCCCAGCAATAAGGGCTGTTGTGGTCCCCTGGTGAGGAAGCACTCAAGATGTCCACCCTGGTTGCACTTGCATTAGGAACTGCAATCAAATAAAAACCCACCGTGGTCCCACACGTCACCCTGGGACGTCCCAGACCCAGGGTTGCAGCTGGATGCTGGCCCTGAGGACCGAAGCATCCCGGTCCCCCAGCATTAATCAGCAAGGCTGGGGGAGATTTCCCCCCACGGCCAACCTCTACGTGGCCATCACACCCCCTCGATATTAGTTTTAATAACAGTCAGTGCTCCTGGTACGAAACAAACCCCACAGCATCAGTCTGAAATATTTCCTTGCATCTTAAAGACAAGGAGACAGACCCAGGGATGCGGTACCAGCCCCAAATCCTGGCTCCACATGGAGATGTTATGGGGAGGATGAGCCCGGTGGGATGTTGGGTACCACCCCATCGCCTTCCCAGCCATGCCTGGCTGGCAGGGAGGGGTTTAATTGCCTTCACTGGATTTTTATTCCATTATTATCACGGCAGCATCCTTCAGCTGCCGTGATGTCCCGCAGCAAGGAGCCCGTGGCTCATCCCTCCTCCTCTCCCCTTCCAGCCGCCCATCTGCTCGCTGCATTTCTGTATTTTATACTGGAAAAAAGTAATTTTCTTATTAACTTTTCTGCCTGGGCAGGCTTTTGTAGCCCTGTAGCACATCCACCCTGAGCTGCCTCTTTCCCCAGCCCTCGTGGGGGACCACTCCATCCTTCCCAGCCCTCGCCCAGCATCACCCAGAAACCCGCTCCTGCCATCAGGGCTAATTGTTAGTTTTACATTTGGGTTAAAAAAAATAATTACGCATCAAGAGGACTGGTGGTACGGTCGGTCTGTCCTTCCTCACTTGCACGGCATCCAGCACCAGCGCCCCTTCGCTCCTGCAAAGGCATCGTCCCACGTGTCGGGGTGTTGAGGAGGGGGGGAATATTTTAATGGAGCAATCTAAATAAATAAAGATAAAATAAATCAAAGCCCTGAATGTTAAACATCAGGCCTGCTGGGATAGTTTGGACTCTATTAAAAAGCGCTGCACATTCCTCCGGTGACTCAGAGGTTTTATGTGCTAAAGACGACAGTGATGTAGCAGTTTTTCTTTCACAACGCGCTAAACGCCGGGGTTTGGGGGTTATTTTTTGGTGCATCGTGG